AGCTCCTGGCCAGGCTCACACCTGCTGAGATTCAGTGGGGCTGCCAGCTGGGAGCTGCAGGGTGATGCTGGCTCAAAGGATCTGATCAGCTAAGACATACTGTAGCATGCCGCTTCCGAATGGCTCGGATGGGGGGCGTGTCATCAATGTGTGCACGTCCTCCTTCTCCCTGTGGGTTTGTGGCTGCAAAGCTGCGCCACACTATACATTTACCTATTCCAATATGGGTGGGTATAAAATAGAAAATAATTCTAGTTTCCAGTTCTTTTCTTTTTCATATAGATATTTGTTCTAGTTAATAGGGTAATTCACGACTCAGCGATAAGGTGGATAGCAATGAGAGGCCACGTGCAAAGAGAGGGAGAATGAAACCACAGGGTGGTGACACCTGATGTTGTCGACACTGTGCACACTTCGCAGGTATCCCATCCAGCTCCCTCGGGAGGGCTGCTATGGCGACATGGATGGATTCCCTGGAGTGCGGAATTATGGAACCCAACCGCCAGAGGAGCTGTACGATGTCTACTGCTATGTGGAGAACTTGCATGGTAACAGAAGTGTTTTATTCCTGTTTAAATGGTGCTATCACACTTGAAAGGGGTTGACACAAGGGGAAAGCTGTGCGGGTTGAGACAAACAGGTGTGAAAAAAGATTGGGATACTTGGCACCTCTGCATTCGTTTTCCATGAGGTCTCGCTAAATGTGACCCTCATTAAGGCCTCATGGAGGCTCCTGTACAGAGTGCAGACTGGGTGCCACAGCTCAGGACTCACTGGTTCAAATCCTCATTCTGAAAAGGGGATCCCCCCCAGCGCCCAATTCCATTGTATTACTGGATCGATCCTTAATTGCTTAATTAACCCAGGTGCTCATGATCCCTCCAACAATGAATCAATTAACAACTGCAGCAAAAAAATTGCAGTGAAACGGAAATGCAAAGTTTAATCATCTAAGCAAAACAGTTGTTTACTAAATATTTTACCAGTTGACCTAGATCTTTCTGAGAATGAAAGCACCAGAAATTATTTTAAAAGTCAGCAACAGGGCTATTGCTGAAAGGCTAATAACCTCTGCACCATACACCCTTCAATTTCCTTGACAAGTTAATCATCTCGGCTATAAGGAGCTGATTACATAGTCACATGAAGACTGAAATGCAAAACAGTCAGTTTCTATGGAAATCTCTCTCATGGCTTGAGAAAGCATTGTGTGACTGGCCATGTGCTTCACTGATACTGAGAGAAGCAGAGAATTCCTTGTGGTCCACTTGTAAGTGGGGGTGCATAAGGGAAAGAAGCTAAGCTGAGCAGATCTGTGCCCTAAGTATCTGGACAAGGAGGCAGGCTAGGCTATATTATGTACAGTAAATGTGATCTTTCAAGGTTTCCATTATTGCCATGCATTAAAATTGGTTACAGAAAAGCCTTAAAAAAAACACAGCCAATATTTTTACATAATCACGAGGCTGCACCACTGGTTTTGATTCCTGTGACTAGAGTGGTATTGATGCTGTTCTGTCAAAGGGGTTTATGGAATGGTGCGTGCTAATTGGTCGATTGGCATTCCTGGCGCTGCCCCTCCTGATCACAAGCATTGTCTCTGGCAACAACATAAACAGTGCGGTCACTCTGGGGTCCCGGGTTTAATTTTGGCCTCGGGAGTCTGTCTGTCTGTGTGGAGTTTGAAAAATGTTTGCTTGGTTTTTAGCTCTGGCTCACTCCCAGAGACGTGCTGGCCTGGTTTCATTGGCTAAACTAAATTGCCCCTTTTCCCAGTGGCTCTGTGATGGTCAGCAGTTTGTGTGCTCAGTCCTGCCTTATACCCTGTCTTGCTGCGACGCTCGCTTAAGTCTTTCTCAAAGTAAACGATGGTTGGAAGAGGTGTTTCTGAGGATACATAATGTCCAGTGCCACCTGTGTCCTAAACAACAAGGCTCGCTCTTTATTTCTTTAAAATGATTCTGTAAAACAAAGCATAATAGAGTTTAATATACCATAGGCAATGTGGATTGGTAGTTAAAGTAGTATATATCATAGTCATGGTAGAGTGGTGTATACCATAGTCAAGTGCAGTGGTAATCATTGTACAGTGGTATAGTCATGGACCAGTGGTAGTCATGGTAAAATGGTATGTACCATAGTCATTGTGGAGTGGTGCTTATAATACTTATAATAAAGTAGAAAATATCATAGTCATG